TCGAAGGACATTCCAGGTGTGCAGAGGAGGATGGAAGAAAGCACAGAGATTTTTCTGAGAAGATAAAATGGATATTGATGTTGGCATCAAGGATGGATTATTTTGCGAGAGTGTGTGGGAAGACAAGAGTGCCGACTTATGCCAGGGCTGCATGCAGTAGCGCCTTAAAAACAAGGACAAGAAGTCTGAACTTATTTCACGGTGCAAAAGGAAGGTGGTAAAATTTCTGAAAGAAAGGGATGGAGGTGTGTGAGGTATTTTAAGAGGTGAGTGAGACAGATGATTTGGCAGTGGTATTGTGGACAATTTGGAGGGAAAGGCAAATTTAATATAGGAAAGACCTGTTACAAGTAGTATGTAGTAATCAAGTAAGGGAAATGACTGAGATATAGAGCAGCAATTTAGCTGATTGGATGGAGAAGTTGTGAAGGAAAAAGGGCCAGGACTTGGTCCTTTGTTTGAACGTAGGGCTAATTTTAACAACTTGGTTGGATAAGAATAGTTGGTATTTTTAACCGCATCTTTGTTTTAGAGAGTTTACTTTGCAAATGTATATGTATTTTAACTGGTGAGAGGTACCCAGGAACCCTTGGGTGCCATTTATGAATCTTTAAATAGTTAACCCTACTAGAGCATTACTTTGATAAGATAAAAACTGACCAAAAATTTTATATAAAAACATTCCATCTTATTTCTCCATTTTTATGGCTTAAATTGTCAATACCATTTGATAAAATTGTGCTTTGTCAGTGTCTCTGTTATAGTAACATATTAATTGAGCACTGCTATAGAGGGACAAAACATCACATTCCTCCTTACCCTTTTACTCTTCTAATGAAACTTAATTGGTCACTCCCATTGTTTCCTTTTTCCCATCCGTTTTTGTGCTGCCTTCCATGCTTCACTGTATATTTAGGATATCTTCTCTATTCTAGTGTGTCTTCATTCAAAGTCCTCCTGAATATTCTGGGTGAGATCCTGAATCCTATTTTGACCCCTTTACACGATGCTGGAATGGCATAAAGTAACCCTAAAAGGTCCTGGTCTGTTTTAGGGAGGGTACGGGGGGGGATAGCTCAGTGGTTTGAGCATTGGCCTGCTAAACCCTGGGTTGTGAGTTCAATCCTTGCGGGGGCCACTTAGGGATTTGGGGCAAAATCAGTACTTGGTCCTGCTAGTGAAGGCAGGGGGCTGGGCTCAATGACCTTTCAAGGTCCATTCCAGTTCTATGAGTTAGGTATATCTCCATATATTTAAATAAGGGAAAAGGTAAGAAAGCTGCCTCTTGTGAGCCCTGATGTAGGAGAGTACTGGAGTGAGGCTGGGATTAGGAGGGACAGGCATGCACCATGCAGCACTGTGGATGTTCCAGGCAGCTCTGCATCCCACATGGCAGACAGGGGAAGCTGCTGTAATTTAGACAGGCCCCCAACAATTTTCTTAAATTATGCTGGTGTCCTCTCCAGCTTCCAGAACAGCCCAGAATCAGGAAGCCAAAGGTGGCTAATAGACCCCTTATACCTCCACCCTCCTGAATGGAAAGTTCTGTGCTGCATCACTTAGAGGCACAGCACAGAATCTCACCTTAGTGTCAATGTAGTATCTTATGTGAAGTGCATAAATGCTGATTCATATCCGTAAAATCTGACACTTCATAACAAACAATACTCATTTTCAAGTTAGCATCATCCTCTAAATCTTCCAAAATATTCTTCTGAGGCTTGTGTGTTTAGATTGTAAGCTCCTTGGGCAAGTGACTGAGTTTTCTTTTGAGTATTGGTCAGTACCAAGTAAAACTTGAGTGCTTTAAAATAATTAATATTATTGTAGTTTAGTGAGAAAATTTATTAATTGCAGTATATTTATAGATATTTCTCTGCTGGCTTCCTTCCAGGCCTCATAGTACCTCTAAGACATGTATTGTTTCAAATGATTAATTATGGATAGGTCATCTTAAGTAATTGTTTTGTGGGATATGTTGATTACATTTGATGGTGTTAGTCTGCATGATTTTTGCTAGTTTTGAGTTACCTTTGTCAATTGATGCATAAGATACGGTTCCATAGGTAAGGTTGAGTTGAGTGTTGCACTTAAAGTTGGATTTCAACCTCTTTATTATTCATGAAAAAATACAGCGTATCTTCCCTTGGCCAAAATGACACCACTTAAAATTTCAGTACTGCATAAAATTTGGGAGAAAATGCAAGTAAATGTATTAGGTAATTTGAGCTATAATTCGTTTTATTAGGGATTGCACACTTCATAGCTTGTGTGGGCTGAGCTTATTGCCCACACCAGGGGCTCCTTGCATCCCTCCATTCCTCTCCACAAGCTCCCTGTTTGCCATCCTCCCATCCCCTTCTGTTTCAGGGACTCCCTGTAATTCTCCTAAACTCCCCACTGCCAGGGGTTCTGTTTGCCTCCCATTTCCCACCTCCTCCCATACCAGAGTCCCCATTCTCCCTCCAGGCACTACCATTCCTCCTTCCCCCCCATGCCGCCTATTCCTCCTTTTTCCCCACCCATACTAGAATCCCCCAGTTTCCCTGCCCATCGAGGTGGGGGGGTCTGTTAACTCTCCCCCATTCCAGGGTCCCCCATTCCATTGGCTCTGTGTTCCCCCATTCCCATTTCCCCCATACTAGGGTCCCCCAATCTCTCCCCCAGCAGGGGTTCTGAGTGCCCCACATTATCTCCTCACCCTATACCAGTGTCCTCCATTCTCCCCACTATGTCAGGGTTCTGTGTCCCCAGATCGCTCTCTTCCTCATTCTCCATCCCATGCCAGGAGCTGTTTGTTTCCCACCATGTTTTGTCTGGGTGATAAGTCATTCAGGATGTCATCATGTGAAACTCTTGGGAGAATGAGCAGAGATCAGATAAGGTATTGTTATGTTGAAAGTCATTAATGAGTGCCATTAGTTTATTCCTTATAGACAATTGCTGAGTGCTTGAAGCTGTGGCTGTGCTAATCAGATGGCAGGGACTCCATGTGTCCCCTGTTTTCTGGTTTACCCAAAAGTCAATAGAATTCTGGCCACTGATACCTAGAACAGTCTTTGAAATTTTTGAATTTATCAGATAGGGCATTCAAAAGTTACTGCATTACAGACTGACAGAAAAATGCTATCAAGTGGGTAGTAAGGTCTTCACAAGCTCGGCCAAAAAATGTAGCATCTCGTGTCAAATCTTTTCTTAATGGCATTATTTTAACAGTGGAATAACACAGACTCTTCAGACTTCTCATATAGTTAAATGATAGAAATCTTTTGTTTTAGATTACTTCTAAATATTTTGTAAATGATTAATAGTATTTTTTCCTGTATTCTTCCCCTGGTTTGAGGATTGCACTAGGGCTGAGACATGATATGTGTCTAGAATGATGCCTACAGTTAAGCAGCAGTGCACACATTCAGAGGCAGAAACTTAGAAGCCTATGGAACTTTTACAGCCAAAAATTTACATGTTGGTTGAGTTTAGTCAGGCAGCAGCTGAATGGCGGTTTTGTGGTTCTCAGTGGTGCTTACATTGAGATTGAGACGCTTAAGTCCCTTTATTGATATAGCCCCATTGATATTTGTTGCCTGTATTTGTTGCAGGCACTGTGAAGAATTATTTTGTTTTGATTTACTATTGCCTATGTTGGTATTGACCTAAATGTTTTTCATTCTTTTGATTGTGATAGACAAGTTTCGGGGACCTTTGCCTGTGTTTTTAGTTTATACTAGGTACTCCAATTAAATCCTGGACCTTAGTACCTTAAGAGTTACAGATGGGACTTTCAAAAATGTTTGGTATGAGCTGAGCTCTGCTCCCGGTGAAGTCAATGGAGGTAGCATTCTGGAGCTATTGAAGTCAAAACTCCCATTAACTTCAGTAGGGCCAGGATATCACCCTGGGAGTTTTACCATTGACTGTAAATGGAGCAGAGTTAGACCAATGCTGAATACTTCTAAAAATCCTACCCTATGTGCATCCCCCCATTAGGTGCCTAAATATGGGCTTAAGAGCCTAACTCTAGACTCCTATCCTTGAACTTTTTGGTCTATGTGCATAAAAGAGTTTACAGTAATTTTCTTTATGTACTAAAGGTCTAAATAACTTCTCATTGTTAAAAATGAAGAAAATTTATTTTAGTATGAAGATTTTATGCCATTAAGAGAAAAAAAATACTAAAAATACAGTTTTTACCCCTGATGCATATACTTACTTGTAAGTAGTCCCAGTGAAGTCAATGGGATTATACATGTAAATAAAGTTATGTACCCGCTTAAGTGTTTGCAGACAGCCTCCTACTAGTGGCATTAAAAACAAACAATATTTATAATTTAGTGTATTATACATTTTAATCTAAAGATGCTATAGAGCAGTTTTTCAAATTAGTTTTACAAAGACTGAACCTGATTTAAATCAATTATTGGGGAGGGAGGGGGAAATCAAGTGATTTAAATTGGGTTGTTTTAAATTGCTCCATCCTGAAGGTTAGGTACACTTTCAAGGGTAGGATGGAATTACATACATATCAATTCATGGGTTTTTTCCTTCTCTTTCTGTGATTTAGGCTTCAGGTAAGAAAACTACCTAATTCTGTCTTGTGGTCCATGTACCTTTCTAGTACTGCTAAAATATTCAAGGCCACAGCAATTAGCATACAATTCAATTTCAAGGTTTATAGTTGATTGCCTTTTTGTGGCCATAATACTTAAAACGGAAGCTGTTGTAAAGTATTTTTTACTGTTTGAAGCAAAACAAACTGCAGAAAAAAGGGAATTGAATGACTGTGACAGCCTGGTAAAGGAACCTGGAGTTTGTATTTATTTATTTTCTGGAAGCATCATGACATTGATACATATATGGGGAAAAGAATGATTCTTTTCTGAGTTTTTTTTTTCTTGGATAATGGATGAAAATCTCACTTGATTTTTTAATCTCTCTCCCCTTTCCCCCCCTCTTACCACCAAAATGTACTTTTACAGAAGCATAAGATAGATCTTTTCTACAAACTGCGCCATGTGATGAATGAACTCATTGACCTGCGTAGACAGCTACTGTCAGGTCACTTGACACAGGATCAGGTGCGAGAAGTCAAGAAACACCTTACAGTGCGACTGGACTGGGGTAATGAGTAAGTACAAGTACCATCTGAGTGCCATCTGTTTTAATTAATATGGAATGTTTTTTGTGTAATGGAATTTGTAAACTGTTGAACTATCTTCTAGTTGTTGGCAACTGAAACCAAATATCACTTTTTACATTCTGAGTTTACGACGTACCTCCTCCCCCATGGATATACATAATTAAAAATTCTAAAAATGTATGATTTGCTTCTACCATTCATTCCTTTCTGAAGGAGTCTGTATTTTTCAATGTGTTTTAGGCCTTATCGTTTAAGATGTACAGTGAATATTAAATCTGAGGTATTCTATACATTGTAATTTATCTGCATTATTATTAATATTACCATTTTGGCATTTGAAAAATTGTTACTGTCAGTGGAACAGCTGTACAGCTTTGTTGTTGGGCAACACTGTAGAATAGCCAGAACTGACACTGTCTGATCAAATGATTAACACTGTGGAATTGAGGCTTATAGTATTCAGATTTAATTTTGTTTTAGGTCTTGTAATCCGTATAATTCTCTGCTGATGCTTTCTCAGATTTTGTGCCCTGATTATCAGTCCTGTTGTAAAGAGGTGACCATGTGAATCTTCTTTTTATGGAGCCAAAGGGATTTATAGTAATTTAGAGTTGAATCTGGAATTATAATTAATTACTTAAAAAAAAAACTAGCCCTATCCCAGAATCGACTCTTGAAAAACAACAAGTAAAAAGCTTGGCTTGCCTAGTTCTAAGGCAAAGTGCTGTGAACAGATGTGTTATGCGTGGCATGCACATGACCTTTTCAGAGGAAATGTCACTCTCCTTAGGCTTACAACAACCTTTCTTCAACCAGGATGTGGATACGTTGTAATTAAAGTACAGAGTAAAATTCTGTGTAAGTTACCAAAAACAGAAAAAAGTTAATTTTTCCTCCCTAACTTACTCTAGTCATGGCCACATTCCTTCAGCACCTGTGTCAGGACTCCTATGGAGAAGAGTACTGGAATGAACTGACAAAAACTCAACTGGCCCCTCTTGTTAAATTAATATATTACTCTCTTCTTAGTTGAAAAAGAGGCTCTGAAAGATGTAGACTAACAGAATTACTTAAGTGATTGTCTTGCATTTTAACTCCCACTAATGTAAATGGAACCCAATAAACCATTGTAATGCTTTGGGATTCAACCCAGACTAGTAAAGGGCTCATTCACCACCTGCCCTGCAACTCTAGATGCCTGAAATGCTCTTGCTGTGGCTCACAGCCCTGACAACAACAGGCAGCAGACAAGCATGCAGGTCACACCCTGGTTTCCACTGCTCAGTTACTTTTGCAAAGTGACCCCAACACCCTCCCAGTTCCGAATATCTCCCAAATCATCTGCTAATATGGCAATCTGCTGAGGTTCCCAGAATTGTGAACTACTGTGTTACCTCTCTCAGCCTCAGTAAGTGAGTTTTGCTACTGCTAAGCTGTGTGACAACTCCCTGACACACCAGCTCGTCTGTCTTGCCAGTAAACTCTTCAGGACACACCTTGTCTTGCATGTAACAAATAGTGAACCCCCACCTCCCAAGTTCCCCAGAGATGTTTCCATGCCATGTCCAGCCCTCTCCTGGAACACTCTCAGAAGTTAATAAATTTGCTACTCCTTTAAAGAGATTATGCACTGCAGTTCATTAATTTAATTAGAGTTTGACAACACTCTTATTTCAATCATAGCACTGAATTGGTTTTTAGTAAAAGTAAAACAAGTTTATTTAACAAAAGGACATAGGATTAAGTGATACCAAGTAAAAGGAATAAAGATTAAAAAGGGTTAAAAGCAAACAAAAGTAAAAATAATTTTCTAAGGCTAAAACTTATTTTCAGCAAGTTACAGTCTTTGCCTAAGCAGGTTTCTCACCTAAACTCAGTTCTCAAAGACTTCAACTCACTTGTTTGAAGAATCCAACATTCCATGATTTCAAGAGCTCTGGCCCCGTTAATTTCCCAAGTGATGGATAATTATGAGGGTTCTCTCCACATTCTTTTTATAGTCCAGTAAACCTTTGAAATTTATTATTTGACAAGTAAGCCCAGACAAAGCTTCTCTCTCCTTCTGGGATGTAGATGCCATGCTGTCTTCCTAAAGTTCATTGTCCCTACTTCAAGAGGCAGGAAGGCTTTAAGCTGTTCTTCCCTGCCTATTGACTTCCCATCATATAGAAATGGGGCTTCCATTGTTTTGATTCCATAATGCTTAATTTACATTGGAGACAGGTAGGTAGCTGTCTTCCCTCCTGTCGGGAAGAAAACCTATATTTGGTCACAGACTTTAAAGCATATCATCAGTGAGTATCTATAATTCCTCATATAATGTGAATGCATACCTTTCACAATTAAATGAATCACCAGTGTGATAAAAGACCTTGATACACTTTTATAATACAGTAATATTGTATACAAACAATTGATTCAATTGTATCTTTGAGGGTCAGCCCCCCCTGTCTTTATAGTTAAGAGGCTGTCTCCCCCACTTGCTGGTTTGATGGCTTTGTTTACCTTGCATGTAAATGCAATTTCATTGTCTCTGCCTGATGATCAGGTTAGTCAGACAAGCAAGTACACATTTCTTTGTCTAGGGCATACTGTGCTTATGCATTGCTTGCCAAATACATTTTAAGAACATAATTCTAGAATATATCCATAACCAGGGTGAAGCCCCGAGCCCTGTTAAATCGCCAGCCTCAGGGCAGCTGTCCCTTTTGGGCCCCCCCGTCGGCGGCCGGGGGGGGGGGGCAAAAGGGACAATGATGTTAAAGCGCTGCCCCTTTCCCCCCCTCCCCGTGTCGGCGGCCGTTCCAGTAGGGACCCTACCAGCAGGGCCACCGACGGGGTGTGGGGGAGGGCAAAAGGGGCAGCTACGTTAAAGTGCAGCCGTGGCAAAGGACCCTCCTTAAAGCGTTGCTGCGGCAGTGCTTTAACGTCGGCTGCGTACGGGCCGGTACCAGCTTCTTACTGGTACGCTGTACCGGCCCACTTTCACCCCTGTCCATGACTCTTTGTACATATCTTGTATATACCTTACACAAGAATATTAATGATCAATGAGTTATTAGTTTTCCAGTGATATATTGCATACCATCTTCTGGGTATATGTCATGACAACAGTGTGTTAAGTGCCGTGGGTATGTCAGGCCTGACAAGAGTTGTTGACACAGAATAGTGAACCTCTAAAGGGCCTCTGTGTCACAACCATACAGGAGCTTTATCCCTAGATAGTTTTGCTGAGAGAGGCAGCAGACAGAGTGAGCAAGAGGAAGTGAGAGAGGGAGTACTGAGAAGAAAGGAATTTGGACTAAATGGTAGTTCAGCACTGAAGGGAATAGTTTGCTCAATTAGTTGTTAGTGGACCAAAGAGAAGAAGTTCTGTTAAATAAATAATACAATAAATAAGTGTAAATCTTAAAGATAAAACCCATTACCCAACCACCTTATAGAAATGATCAATAGAGGTAAATAATGGTTAAATATAACATCCGCTAGGTATACCAATAATACAGTGGTGTTCTGTTTATGGTGGTAGAGAAAGACAGAACTTATGCTGTACTAGAGAAAGGGATGGGTTGAAATCACAGAGACAGAAATAGAACAGGATATTAGATAAATCTAGGCATATGTTATAGTGTGTGTGTGTGTGTGTGTATGTGTGTGTGTGTAAAAATCTGTATACCAGTGTGAGAAACATAATAACAAAAATAAATGAGCTATACTGGGATAAAAGACATGTCTGAGATATGGTTGGATGAAAAACTCAATGGGCTATTGTAATACCAGGCCGTAGACTATATAGGAAGAATGGATTAGGTTATAGAGATAAGAGCATAGCACTGTATCTAAAAGATGCCATAAAATTTAATCAGATACAGTTTCTGAGTAGGGAGGATCGTACAGTAGAATCTATATAAAATTCAAATCCCATGTCACAATAATACAAATATGTTAATAGAGTTATACAATGAGTCTCCAGATAAGGGAAGGTATGTTGAGCACATAACGTTGAGGGAGATCAAAGAGCCAACTAAAGATAATAAAACAGTAATAATGAGTGCCTTCAACTATCCACATACATATAGTTCACGTTGGGGGACAGTTTAGAGAAGCAATTTCAAAATTTGCTTCGGGGAACAGCTAGCTCTATGGCAAATAAGAGGAGAAGCTACCCTCAACTTGGTCCCAGGAAACTCTCAGAAGTTGGCTCAAAAATGACTATAGTAACAGCAACAGTAATCACAATACAATGTTTATACTGCCAGGTGACAGGGAAGAGCTGCAAGGGTCTCAGAAATCAGTGCACATAGCCTTGGTCTCCAAGATACCATGAGAACTGATGTTTGGGAGCGACATCTACAACTTTTTCTGCAATCTCTACCATTAGAATAGTAGAATTTAGATGGAATTTCAAAAAAGGGGATTTACCAAGTTTTCTTCACTTGGAGCATCTCCTTTTCAGTTGTATCATGGAGGGCATGATTATACCCAGAATTATTATTATTATTATTGTTTTATTAATTATCCCAAGTCAAACGTTTCTTATTCCTTTTGAAATTGAAGTGGTACTTTGTTGTTGTTTTTTAAATTAAAATAGTAAATAGTAACATTCACAGTGAAATAGTGACAACCTTACAGTAGTCTGGAGATCAGCATATTCACTTTTTGAATCAGCAAAAAGAATTTAGCAACAACATGCTTTTTTCAGAAACTGTCTGTTAACTGACTTGACCGTTTTGATACTCAGAGATCTGTATTCATTACAGCTATATCTGGGTGAATTTTTTTCTGTGTCAAGAAGTTGTTTTTTTAAACAAAATCTGTCTCAAAATATTGCAAACTGTAAAACTGATTTAAATATTACATCTCTCTTCCCTGTCTTGTAATGGGAGTTACTTTCAGTTCTCACTAATCTTTAAGTTCTTTAACCCCTTTTGGAGCAATATTGTCTGGTATCTAGAACAAAGGAGTGAGTGTCATGATTCTCGTCTTTTATTCTCAAGTTTGTCACTTTCTTAGTTATGTAACTTAACCACACTGTACCTCAGTTTCCCCATGTGTAGAATGCTGTAATAATGCCATCTCACAAGGGTTTAGGAAGCTTAATTCATTAATGTTTGTACGGCACTCTGAGATCATCAAATGAAAGGCACTGTTGTTAATATGTGAATTACATAATTATTAACAAAGAATATAAAAGTAAATATCAGTGCACACAATTTAAGCAGCTCTTTAGTTCCCCAAGGCAATGCTGAAGGATGGCACTCCAGGGGCAAATATTTTACAGTCAATTGTGTAATTTAATATTTCTGCAATGTACTATGTATAGGTAATCAGTTTATGGCCCATAAATATCACAAGTAGAGCAGACAATTAATCGCAGTTAACTCAAGCGATTAACCCAAAACAAATTAACTTGATTAAAAAGATTAATTGCAGTTTTAATCACACTGTTAATCAATAATAGAGTACCAATTATTTAAATATTTTTGGATGTCTTCTACATTTTCAAATATATTGATTTCAATTACAACACAGAATACAAAGTGTACAGTGCTCACTTTATATTACTTTTGTTTACAAGTATTTGCATTGTAAAAAAGAAATAGTATTTTTCAATTCACCTTTTTACAAGTACTGTAGTGCAATCTCTTCATCATGAAACTGCAATTTACAAATGTACAGATGCTCCCCGACTTACGCAAGCGTTCTGTTCCAGAACGCCTTGCGTAACTCGAATTTTGCGTAAGTCGGAAACCTATCTCCAACCATAACGCTAAAAAAAACCCAACCCTCCTATTTCTAGCTTATGGAACTATTTCCGTAAGCTCGGATTTGTGTACGTCAGGTTTACTTAACTTGAGGAGCATCTGTTGATTACTTTTGTTACATTGCACTCAAAAATAAAACAATATAAAAGTTTAGAGTATACATGTCCACTCAGTCCTACTTCTTGTTCAGACAAGTGCTAAGACAAACAAGTTTGTTTACATTTACGGAAGATAATGCTGCCTCCTTATTTATAATGCCACCTAAAAGTGAGAACAGGCATTCGCATGGCACTGTTGTAGCTGGCCTTGCAAGGTATTTATGTGCCAGATTTGTTAAACATTCATATGTCCTTTCATGCTTCGGCCCCCATTCCAGAGGATATGCTTCCATGCTGATGACGCTCATTAAAAAAAAAAATGCATTAATTAAATTTGTGACTGAACTTCTTGGGGAACAATTGTATGTCTCCTGATCTGTGGTTTTACCCATATTCTGCCATATATTTTGTGTTATGGCAGTCTTGGATGACAACCCAGCATATGTTGTTTAATTTAAGATCACTTTCATTGCAGATTTGGCAAAAAAAAGGTAGCAATACGAGATTTCTAAAAATAGCTACAGCACTCCACTCAAGGTTTAAGAATCTGAAGTGCCTTCTAAAATCTGAGAGGGACGTGGTGTGGAACATGCTTTCAGAAATCTTAAAAGATCAACACTCCAATTCGGAAACTACAGAACCCGAATTACCAAAAAAGAAAATCAACCTTCTGTTGAAGGGATCTGACTCAGATGATGAAAATGAACATCTGCAGTTTCTCCATCAACGCTCTGCTAGGTGCAGAAATGTTTGTTTCAAGTTCATATAATTTACACAAAGTCGGCCCATGTTGTTTGATGCTCTTTAAACTTATTTTAACAGTCATTATACAATGCAAAGTCACTTCAAGAACTGTAAAAAGAACAGGAGTACTTGTGGCACCTTAGAGACTAACAAATTTATTAGAGCATAAGCTTTCGTGGGCTACAACCCACTTCTTCGGATGCATATTCACTCTATATGCATCCGAAGAAGTGGGTTGTAGCCCACGAAAGCTTATGCTCTAATAAATTTGTTAGTCTCTAAGGTGCCACAAGTACTCCTGTTCTTTTTGAAGCATGTTTGTTTCTCTCCTTCCAATCCTTTTCACACTCTCCACTACTCATTACTGCTTTTGAAGCAATCCAATTAGCGGATCAGAGACCTACTCCTGTTCAGATGGAAAAGTCACTTAAAAAGTCTCACTAGAAATCATCACTCTGCCAGCTATAGACACCAGGGCCCATCAAGACCTTCTCAGGAAGGTAGCCCAGAACTTGAACTTGCAGGCAAAGGAGGTCTCTGAGGACACAGATCCCATGGTAGATATTCTGGTCCCAGAAGGGCCCTCAAGGGTGGCTCTGCCTCTGTCAGAACTATACAGAATACCACCAAAGTGCTGTGGCACATGCCCGCCTCTATCCCAGTGATAGCCAAGTGAGTAGAGCGCAAGTACTTTGTGCCTTCTAAGAGTATGAGCACCTCTTCACCCACCCCCAGCCCGGGACACTGGTGGTGGAGGCGGCAAACCACAAAGAGCACCGGGGGTAACTGGGGCCTCCCCCAAATCCAAGGATGCTAAGACGCTGGACCTCTTTGGTCGGAAAGTCTACTCCACCAGGGGGGCTCCAGCTTCACATAGCAAATCAGCAAGCGGTACTGAGCCGCTGTGCTTATAATTTCTGGAACTCTCTGGCCAAATTCCAGGAATTGCTTCCAGCGGACTCCCATTCAGAGTTTGGAGCTGTTCTGGAGGAGGGAAAGGTGGTGACCAGGACCTCTCTTCAGGCCGCCCTGGACTCAGTTGACTCAACCACCCGCACCATGGCTACGACTTTTTGTGAGTTGTGCTGGGGCTATAAAAGGGGTATATCTCCTTCTTGGTTCCTTTTCACTACCAATGGTGAGAGTCGGTGCTCCCCAGAGCTATTTACATCAGTTAGCCAGCGTTTTCTGAAAAGCTTGGTGTATATAGTTATAGATAGTTTAGTTCGTTGTAAGTATTTAGTGTAGTGATCTGAGACTTTATTATGAAAAAATCGACAGGTTTCAAGTAGTGTGCCACCTACAGCGATTTTCCCTGTCATGGACAGGCACAAAAGCTGCTTAATCTGCCTTGGGGGAAGGACACACGAGGAGCAAATGTCCAGTTTGTACCTCGTACCCACCAGTACAAAGAAGCAGAGGACTTCTGCCTAAAAGTTCACCTGATGAAGGAGGTGATGTGTCCTGTGTTGGAACCAGCCCCTGAACGTGTTCCTTTTTTACGTAAAGGTACAGAAATTTATTGAAAATATTCCCAAAGAGGGTCTTTTTTATGACCTACAACCATGGCAGTTCTTTTCTCCACTACACAGGTTTTGAAATCAACACTAGAAGCTTCACTCGGAAGAATGTTACTACTTTTTCCCTACAGTGTCCTGCTTTTGACACCAATGTTGCTCCTTTCTGGTTGTACGCTCTGTTCTTTCCACCTTATTACATAACTCCCCCACCCTTACCCCCAGAAAAACAAAAATGAACAACAACCAGGCAAGACTTCTGCCTGTGTAACCCACATGCCTTTTGCGTTCCAGTATTTTATTTAAGCTTATGCTCTAATAAATTTGTTAGTCTCTAAGGTGCCACAAGTACTCCTGTTCTTTTTGCGGATACAGACTAACATGGCTGCTACTCTGAAACCTGTCTTCAAGAACTGTTACTCTCCAGGAGGTTGGAACAGATGTGTATAAATCTTCCTTTTCCGTTCTCTTTGTTTTAACAACAGTAGGGGGGACCTTAGTATGCATGGCAGAGTCGAGTCTGTGCATTATTAACCAGTTACATATCTGATTATTCCACTTTGTTCTAGTGTCTCTATAAAACACACTATTTGCTTTTAATTCCTTTTATTTACTGCCTCTTTCGGCATAGTTGTATTTCACTAACTTTATACCATAAGCATGCTTGATTGCAAACATTAGTCTTACTTCTTCACTTTGTCACTTAAAGTAAAAGCAATCAATATGAATGCAACACATTTCTTACCTAAGAGGATTACCCGTGATGTAAGCTCTCCCCGTAAAGTTTACAATATATTGCTCAAAGCTGTATCACTTATAGTTCACTTTGTTTTTATATACATTTTAATCATATTAGATTCCATCACATTCCCCATTTTACTACTGTATCTGGCACATCATATAATATTGATATTAATTTGAATGACTTTTAATTCATTTACCTATTCACAGGGATGAATTCAAAGGGATGTCTGTTTAGCTGCACAAGCAGTACACCCTTGTGAAAGGCTGCAGCAACTCTAAGTTCTTTTTCGAGTGATTGCTCATGTGTATTCTACAGTAGGTGTGCGTGCTTACCACGTGCACCGATGCCGGAAGTTTTTCCCTTAGCAGTACCCATAGCGGGGGAGCACCGCGATGACCCCTGGAGTGGCGCCTGTATATCGCGCTATAAGGGGAGCCATGTGCTCCCCCCACCCTCAGTTCCTTCTTGCCGCCAGTGAAGGTAGTCGGAACTTGTGCTCCAGCTCTGCTGCAGCCTTTCTACTCAACCTTAGTGGTACTGTTCGTGGAATTGTTACTTCAGTTGTTAGAGTGGGCTCGGGGCATGCCCCGTGCCCCAGGCTTCAAGTTGTGTAACTCCTGTCGCCGTTCTATGCCTGGGAGTGACCCTCACGCTGAGTGTCTCCGCTGTTTGGGTGAGACTCACATCAGCGAACGTTGTAAGATCTGCAGGTCATTCAAGCCGTGGACCAAGAAGGAGAGAGACATTAGACTCCGTGCTCTCCTGATGGAATCGGCGTTGGCCCCAACTCCGGCATGCCAGGCAGACTCGGCACCCGCCGCTGCGTCATCGGTGTGTAGCGAGGCCCCCTCTACTAGCCGGCACCGCTCCCCCTCTAAGAAGCAGGGAAAGGGCCCTACCTCGCAGCGGTGCTGAGACAAGGAAAGAGGGGAGGCTGGTCCCACGTCGGGCGGCCCTCGGTCCCCCCTGTGCTCAAGGTCTCCGACTCATGTGGAGCGGAGCAGCCTGGCGCCGTCCGCGCACACATCTCCGCCAGTATGGATGCCATCGACGCCAGAGGCGATGCAGGCGGTGAAGGACATTATGAGTCTGCTGGTTCCAGGCGTGCAACCGGCGACGGCTCCCCGGTCTCGGGTCAAGCCCTCATTGGGTGCCCATCAGACCTCTCCTGTGGGTCGCAGTTCCCGCTCCGAGGACTGCTCCCTGCACCGTTCGATGCCGACCAGGCCATCGCAGTCACCGCCGGCACAGGAGTCTCGGGGACCCTCTACGCCGCCTGCCAGCGACAGGCATCAAGAGAGGCGCCAGGAATGTTTCCCTTTGCGACCCGACGACCGCAGCCAGTCTCATCGGGATAGACGTCGTCATTCTCATTCCAGTTCCCGCTCACCTAGTCGTCAGGCTCGGGATTCCCCTCGCGATGACTCGGCATCAGGGCACCGGCGCTCCCGCCGCCGTCGTGGGTACCGAAGTAGCTCTTCGGGCGGGTACCGTTCCTCGACATCGAGGTCCAGGTCCTGAGAGAGGCGTCATCGCAGGCACCGCCGCTCACACCGTTCCCGTGAGACCGTGTGCTCGACGGTGACCTCGGCCTCGGCATGCAGCCGCCCATCCCCGGCCCGCACGGCTCAGCTGGGACAACTACCACCACCGGGCCCTCAGCCGGGTCAGTGGCAAGGGGCCCCATGGCAAGGACAGTGCTGCCAGTGGGCACCGATGGCCGCCCAGACGGGGGCCCGCTCGGTCGCCAGAGCGTCACAGGCTCCATCAGCCTCGTCCGTCCGCCTAAGAGACAGATCGGCGGGCCACGAGTCGGTGGACCTGCGCCCAGACTCTGATCTGGGGCTCGACCCCCCGGTGCAGACCGAGGCCCACAGCTCTGTGCGGGCCCTTTCCCAGGCACCGGACGACACCATAACGGCGCCTCCGCCATCAATCGCTCAGGAGTATTTTCAGGTGCACCAGGACCTGCTAAAGCGGGTGGCATCCAGCCTCCAACTGCAGGCCGAGGAAATGGAGGGCCCTTCCGATTCCCTCTTTAATGTGTTGTCCCCTTCGGCACCGGGCCGCGTGGCTCTGCCCCTGCACCAGGGTGTGGCCAACATTTCCAACACCCTGTGGCAAACTCCCGTCTCCTTGGTTCCGATCTCCAAGAAGGCTGAAAGGAAGTACTTCGTGCCGGCCAAGGACCATGAGTACTTCTATTCCCACCCGGCACCTAACTCGCTTGTGGTAGAGTCAGTAAACCACAGAGAATGACCGGGCCAGCCCACACCTACCCCCAAAAATAAGGACACCAGACGACTGGACTCCTTTGGTAGAAAGATTTATTCCTCGGCAAGCTTCCAGTTCAGGGTAGCCAACCACCAGGCCTTGCTGAGCAGATATGACTTTAACCTGTGGGAGTCTCTGCCTAAGTTCGAGCCTCTCCTCCCAGACCGGGACAGGAAGGACTTTAAGGCTCTGGTGGAAGAAGGGGCGGCAGTGGCTAAAGCGGCCCTGCAAGCGGCATCGGACGCAGCCAGCTCGATGGTTTCGGCAATTTCCATGCGCAGGGCTTCGTGGCTCCTCCTGTCCGGACTCTCGACGGAAGCCCAATCCCTTATGCAAGACCTCCCGTTTGATGGGAAAGCGCTCTTTGCGGACCAGACGGATGTCAGGCTGCATGAGATGAAGGATTCCCATACCTCCCTGCAGACCTTGGGCCTCTACGTCCTTCCGGCTAAGGACAAGGCCAAACCGCAACTGTCGGCTCAACCTGCGAGGAGCAGATACGAGCCCCCGTATAAGAAACCGAGGGACCAAAAATGCCCGTCTCAGTGGCAGTCCCGCTCAGCCCTGCAGCCTGGGCCCACTAAGGGAAAGAGGCAGTTTTGACTATTTGCAGGCGGGCACGGAGCCAGTTGCCAGGGAGACCCCCCAATTAATAAAGTTTGTGTTCCGCAACCGTTTGTCTGCCTTCCGCATGGCGTGGTCCCATATAACATTGGACCAGTGGGTCCTCAATACCATTTCCAAGGGCTACATGTTGCAGTTCACCTCACCCCCACCAAACCACCTGCCCTCCCCGGTAGACCCGGGGGACCCAGAGCATGCCCACCTCCTAGCTCAGGACGTGGACCGTCTACTGCACCTGGGGGTGGTAGAATTCCAGAGCAAAGGGTTCTACTCCCGGTACTTCCTGATCCTGAAGGCCAAAGGGGGCCTCAGGCCCATCCTGGACCTCCGGGGCCTAAACCGTTTTTTGGCCCGCTCCAAGTTCCGCATGGTGTCCCTGGCCTCTATTGTCCCCTCCCTGGACCCGGGGGACAGGTATGCGTCCCTGGACCTCCAGGACGCGTACTTTCACATTCATATTTTCGAGTGGCACAGTGCTTCCTCCGCTTCCTAGTGGGGTTAGACCACTACCAGTTTGCGGTCCTCCCGTTTGGCCTATCCACGGCACCCAGGGTAGTGAAGGGGCTACCTCTCTCCACCCAGCGTCTTTCCTGCTGGATCACCTCATGCATATGCACGTGCTACGATCTGGCAGGGGTTCCCCCACCACTAATCGTTAGGGCTCACTCAACGAGGGCTCAGGCCTCATCAGCTGCCTACGTAGCCCATGTCCCTATCCAAGACATTTGTAGAGCGGCCACTTGGGCCTCAGTTCATACATTCACTTAGCATTACTCAATCATCTCCCAGTCTAGGGATGACACCTGGTTCGGTAGGGCGGTACTCAGTCCCGGACTATCGTGAACTCCTACTCACCTCCAACAGATATTGCTTGGAATCACCTACTGTGGAATACACATGAGCAATCACTCGAAGAAAAAGGACAGTTACCTGTTCCGTAACTGGCGTTCTTCGAGATGTGTTGCTCATGTCTATTCCACACCCCGCCCTCCTTCCCCTCTGTCGGAGTTGTCCGGCAAGAAGGAACCGAGGGTGGGTGGAGCCCGTGGCTCCCCTTATAGCGCGATATACAGGCGCCACTCGAGGGGTTGCTGCGGTGCTCTCCTACTACGGGTACTGCTAAGGGAAAAACTTCCGGCACCGGTGCACGTGGCGAGCACGCACACCTACTGTGGAATACACATGAGCAACACATCTTGAAGAACGCCAGTTACGGAACAGGTAACTGTCCTTTTCCTTATACTTGAAGAAAGCTAGACCTTATGGGGTTTTATTCTTTTAGACCTCCATTGTTTCTTTTTTCTCAAATGCCTTAATCTGTGGGCAGTTCTTAAATAGTAGTAACTCATAATTTTGTGTCCTTAGTTACTACATATGCTTAGGGTCCAAATCTTTCCTGTCTGGTTAAGGCCATTAGGGAAGAACTGGATACTGTCAAAACCTACCCGGGGAAAATCAGGTTGCTGGCTTCTGTAAGGAAGGTGTTGTACAACTATCACTCAAAAAAAAATGTTTGATATTCACAATCTGACTAACCATTGTCCAGTATCTAATCTTTCCTTTCTAGTTAAAATTGTTAATGTTATAATCGGACCCCTCTTAACATATCTGGTTGCCTCAGATCTCCTTGACGTTTGTCAGTCTGGTTACAAATCTGAGTATGGCATGAAAACTGCATTGGCAGCATTGGTACATTATCACCTTCTGGCCATAGATATATATCAGATGTCCATACTGATATTGTGAGATCTATCCACTACCTTTGATATTGTTAATCACAAGGTGTTGTTGACTCACCCGCATACGGGGGCGTGGTAGAAAGGTTGACCTTCAGTGACTTTGGTCTTCTCTCTTTCAGAGATCCCAGGTGATAATTTTGGACAGTTGCTCTTCTGCTGCAAGGGTACTCTCATTTGGAGTTCCTCAGGGTCCTCTTGCCCCCTCTCTTGTTCAGTAGATGAGAGGATTAGTGAGGAAGCATGAGCTCTGGTGTTTTCAGTATGCTTATGACTCCTCGTTTTGTTTTTTTATTTCATTCAGTCCATCCACTGCTATTAAAGACCTTATTTAGTAGAAATGGGTCAGGGTTAGCTGGATAGATAAGATGGTGGACCTAGATAAGACTGAGATTATACAGGTAGGTTGGGGGAAGCAACTAGAGGACATGGTGAAGATTTATTTTTGTCACTCTAATTGAGGGGTATATTTGCCACTTGGTGCTAATATTCACATTCTGGGGGGGATTGTTGGACCCCCAATTGCTTAGACAATAACTATTGTTTGGTTTTGTTTTACAGTATCCCCTAAACTGAGAGAATAGGTCTATTGTGCTAGGCACTGTATAAACACATAGTAAAAGACAGTGTGAGCCTGGAAGATCTTACAATCTAAAAAAGGCAAGATTAAGGGTTTGAAACTATTCTAATTTATCTGGAACTTAACCAATACTGTAATCTCTTGTGGCACTTTAACCAAAGTTCATATCATATTTGATATTCAATATAATATTAAATAAAATATTTAACCTACAAGCTAGTGTGGGGGAATAGGCCTGGCTGGCCTCCCTTGCACCGATCAGAACATCGGCGAAGACTCGTCATATAGGCCCGCCGTGCAGGCCACAAGCCGGAACTAGGCTAAGGGTATGTCTACACTACGAGGGTAATTCGATTTTACTTAAATCGAATATGTGGAATCGATATTGCAAAGTCGAACGTGTGTGTCCACACTAAGGACACACTAAGGACAGTAATTCGACTTTGTGAGTCCACACTAACGGGGCGAGCGTCGATATTGGAAGCGGTGCACTGTGGGCAGCTATCCCACAGTTCCCGCAGTCCCCGCTGCCCATCGGAATTCTGGGTCGAGCCGCCAATGCCTTCTGGGTAAAAAAAATTTGTCGTCATCCGTCCGTCACTAACGCCCTCCCTCCCTCCATGAAAGCGCCGGCGGGAAATCAGTTCGCGCACTTTTCTGGTCAGTGAGAGCGCGGACGCCACAGCACTGCGATCATGGATCACGCTGCGACCATCGCTGCACTTCTGGCCGTTCTCAACACCTTGCAGCTTATCATACACCTTTCCCTGAGGCAGATGAAGAGTAATCAGGCGAGGAGGCTACGACACCGCCGTGATGGCCTGAAGTCGGAGAGTAGCACAGAGCTGTCAGAAACCACGAGCCCCAGCGCCCAGGACATCACGGTGGCAATGGGTCATGTGGATATCGTGGAACGTCGATTCTGGGCCCGGGAAACAAGCACGGACTGGTGGGACCGTATAGTGCTTCAGGTCTGGGATGAATCCCAGTGGCTGCGAAACTTTCGCATGCGGAAGGGGACTTTCCTCGAACTTTGTGACTTGCTGTCCCCTGCCCTGAAGCCCCAGAATACCAGGATGAGAGCAGCCCTCACAGTTGAGAAGCGAGTGGCCATAGCCCTCTGGAAGCTTGCAACGCCGGACAGCTACCGGTCGGTTGCGAACCACTTTGGTGTGGGCAAATCTACCGTGGGGGTTGTTGTCATGCAAGTAGCCAAGGCAATCGTGAAGGTACTGCTCCCAAAGGTAGTGACCCTGGGAAACACGCAGGTCATCATAGATGGCTTTGCCGCGATGGGATTCCCAAACTGCGGTGGGGCTATCGATGGGACTCACATCCCTATCCTGGGACCGGACCACCAGGCCAGCCAGTACATCAATAGAAAGGGCTACTTTTCAATGGTGCTGCAAGCACTGGTGGACCATCGGGGACGGTTTACAAACATCTACGTCGGATGGCCGGGCAAGGTTCATGACGCTCGCGTGTTCAGGAACTCTGGTCTGTTTAGACGGCTGCAGGAAGGTATTTACTTCCCAGACCACAAAATAACTCTTGGGGATGTGGAGATGCCTACAGTCATCCTCGGGGACCCAGCCTACCCGCTAATGCCCTGGCTCATGAAGCCCTATACTGGCGCCCTGGACACAGAAAAAGAACTGTTCAACTACCGGCTGAGCAAGTGCAGAATGGTGGTGGAGTGTGCTTTTGGCCGTCTCAAAGGGAGATGGAGAAGCTTACTCACTCGCTGTGATCTCAGTGAAACCAATATCCCCATCGTTATTGCAGCTTGCTGTGTGCTCCACAATCTGTGTGAGAGCAAGGGGGAGACCTTTATGGCGGGGTGGGAGCTAGAGGCAAATAGCCTGGCTGCTGATTACGTCCAGCCAGACAGCCGGGCCATTAGAAGATCCCAGCGGGACGCCCTGTCCATCCGGGAGGCTTTGAAAGCTAGGTTCCTGAGTGAGCAGGGCAACCAGTGACTTTTCAGTTTGTGGACAGAAAAGCTGAACCTGCCCCCGTTTCTTTACCCAGTTCATTTTGACTATCCTCTCCAGTTACATACCCCCTTCTCCCCCTTCCCCTTCCCAAAAAATAAAATCATTTCTATTTTGTTAATTAACACCGTTGTCTGTATTGCTGTTTTCGCGGGAATATTTTAAACCGGGGACGCAGACTGTGGCGGGGGGCGGGTTTAGTGTTCTGATGCAAATGATGCTTCTAAACTCCCGGAATGACAGGCTCCGCACTGGTGGACTGGTTATTTCAATGGAGCCTGCCAGCACTCCTGGGGGGGACTGTGTGTATGTGTCGGCTATGTGACTTTCTGGCAGGGGGGGTAGGGTTACAGATCCCCTGCTGCGTGGATCAGTGAGCCAGGATAAGGACCGCTGCATAAGATCTGTAACTGCCCTCCCCCGCCACAAAGTCACAGAGCAAACCCCCTCCCCCAGAACATGAAAAACACCTCCCAGACTGACCAGGGTAACCAGTGACTGCACTGTGTATGTGTCCTGATGCTGGACCTGACACCGCCTCTGTACCCTGCTAAAGGTCACTGTCCTGTCCAATTACCAAGCCCCTTCCCCCCTCCAGACAGACTCTCCCTCAAAAGAACCTGACTGAAACAGCAATGAACAGAAACAAACATTTTATTGCGAACCAGACATGAAACGTGGGGGGTGAAACTTGGACGGGGGCTTGTGTGAGGTGGGTAGGAAAGGACTTATGAAATTTTGGGGAATGTCAGCCTTCTAGTGCTAGAGCAGTCTGCAGGGGTTGACTGAAAGTTTTAACGTCCCTTGCCGCCCCTCCTTCTTTGGACTTTAGGTGAGGGTGGTGTGTGACTTGGTGGCGGGTGAGGGCGGTTACAGATAGACTGCAGCGGGGCTCTGTCCTCCTGCCTCCGGTCTTGCAGAACATCCACAAGGCGCCGGAGCGTGTCCGTTTGCTCCCTCATTAGTCCAAGCAGCTTTTCAGTAGCCTGTTGGTCCTCCTGACGCCACCTCTCCTCCCGTTCCATGACTGCTCGGTGCATTTGTGACAAGTTCTCCCTCCACTGTGTCTGCTGGGCTGCCTGGGCTCGGGAACAGCCCATTAGT